GGGCTACAAAGATCTCATCAAAAAAGTGGTTAACCAGCAATATGAGAGTTGAGGTAAACTGGGTTAGTAGGTCTGCTAATTCTTTGGCTGATGCTTTAGCCACACAGGGGGTTTATAGGGAAGATCTTTTTTGTGCTTCTATGTAAGTTGTTATTAATTTGGAAATCTGTACTTAACTAGCSSGRAGAGGTTGCAACTCRTGCCTTTCCTTGGGGACTTTGTACTATTGTCTATTGCTGATTAATAAAATTATTTCAATTATCAAAAAAAAAATACCTCATAGTTAGGCTCTTCTTGCTGTTGGACCCCGAAAACATCTCCATACAGAGGGCGTCCATACTATACACAGAAGAATGTAGAAATAGTTAAATTAACAAATAAAGTAATGCCATATAACAATTTCTATAAAATTAAAACCTTGAAGAAAGGTAGAATACTCGGACAAAAAAAAAACTCACTTCATCAACAGGAGGTTTACCCCAACCTCCAGGATGATAACCAAAGCTAGCTCCAAGAGGAATGGGGGCATTCAGACCAGGAATTTTCAGATGTGGATAAGATGGCGGAGGACCATATCTCTGATCATGGATAACTTATCAGCTGGTACGAAAACAAAAGCAGGAAAATAGTTGACAAATCAAATCCATATGAATTATATTAGCTCAACCAACCTGCATGTTGATAAGCCATGGAGGAGGAGCACCTTCAGGCATACCAAGAGCCTCTTTTAGTTCCTGTGAGAGCATACCTGGCTTCATCTCCCTCAGTTTCACCTGTAAGTTTAATAAGCATTACAATTAATATTTTTTCTGCTTCTTAATAATAATACTATCAACCCTAATGCCAAAAGAAGATTTTGCTGCAAAACCACAGAAAAGATGTGGAAACATATGTGGTTCAGAAACATGTCTCAGAAAGAAATCCTCTTTTTTTGGATAATTTAAAAGAATTCCTCGTTGGGGGAATGGTAACCCTACTCTGGAAAAGTAGTGATCTCTTGTCATTTCTATTACATGTGTCCATGAAATATGGTATAACTACCAAGTACCAAAATACCCCCCATGTAAAAAGACAATAAATACCCTTGACAAGGATATATGTAAAAGCAATGCTGATATTAAACCTGTGATCCAATAATCCTACCCGGGAGTATGATTACTATTCCAATTCTTATTAATAATGAATAGCAAAAGCTCCTATACATAGAAGATGCTCAAGTGGGGGAGGAAATACACATCATCAAGCTTACCAATACCCAAACTGATTTTACACAGGAATACAATTAACCAATTGACAGAAACCCTTGACCTGAAGCCCCCGATACTAAAGTAGTTCTTCCTACACCTTCCTTTGCTAAAGATTCAGCAAGTTCCTTTCTTTCTCTCTCATTCTTTCTTAGAGAAATTAAAGCAGATATTATATTGACATCAAAAGAAGATAAAAAAATTGAACAAGTATAGTGCATGTATACGAGAAATTCTACAATGGATGAATGGTTGCAGAAGAAACATTTATCTTGTGTATCCTGTTATATATAAGTAATAATTAGAAGAATATACATACTAAGAAAGTTACAAGGCACTCCACTATTGATAGAAACAAACTGTTTCAGCTACCAAAAGCCTCTATACTCACAGGTATTAGCCCCCTAAAAGAATCTTATCATCTCTAACAGAATGGTGGATAAGTAACATAGACTTGGTCAGAAACCTTAATTCTGTCTCTAATTGAGTTATATACCAAACATCTAGTTCCATAACAAGTAACCCCCCAACTTGCAAGCTCATTTGTAATAAGAACAATGTGAATATACCTCAAATTCTTTCCCTTCATGATAAAGATCACCATGTGTTGTCAGCTTTGGTTTTGTCTGATATTTAAAAAATGCATCATGGAGAACCTGCACACAGAAACCATATCCTTGAATAAGAACATTTTAAAGAGCATGGTCATGAAAGATTGCCACTCCAGGAATGGATCTGATGAGGAAACAGCAAGACTATGAGATGACAAACATGCTGGAAAGGGGAGACCCATTCATTCAGAGGTCAAGAATAGAGCAATGGCACAAGATATCACTGGTAACAAGAGTGATCAGTGATGTCTTATATAGGCTTCAATTTCTGCCATAGGTGCACCAGCACTGGCTCAACATGCAAGGATAAGAGTCAAGAACAGACAAATATAAAAAGATTCGACTATGATGCCGGAAAAACTTATAACCAATGAACCGGTATCATAAAAATGGTAACAATCGGATAGTAATTATCAAATTCATGGGGTGTTGATTGGTCAAGCCCCTTCCGTATCATGTCTTTTCTGGCAGCATAGATTTTCCCAAAATAAATAGGAAATAAGAGATTGAGGACCAGCGCTGACTCAACATGCTAGGATGAGAATCAAGAACAGTAAGATATAAAAGGGTTCGACCGTTCGAATATGATACTGGAAAAACTTGTAACCAATGAACTGGTATCATAAAAATGGTAACAATCAGATAGTATTTATCAAAATTCATGGGGTGTTGATTGGTCAAACCCCTTCGATATCATGTCTTTTCCAGCAGCACAGATTTTCCCAATATAGAAAGGAAACAAGAAATTGACGACAAACCTGATAGTCAATGTCCATCTTCCCCATCTTTGGTTGCATGCGTTCACGTTGTTTCTGCTTTAACTTCTTACTGTCCTCTTTTTCAATATAAGCCTATAAAAGATGCCATAAAACTAGGAAACAGGTTAGCATATCACAATGAAAATACAAGAGATTTCCATCAGCAAGGCTAAGTTGAAAAATATCAAAATCCAATTTTCTCAAAATCAAAAGGAAATCTTAAAATTTAAACCCTTTCTATGCACCATATCTAGTCTAGTAATTCAAAAACAGCATGAAACCAACTTTTTTTCAAGGAGGATGAAATAAATTCTCCTATTCTTCACAATCAAAGCCTTCTTATTTGAATTAAAATTCATTGTTTTTAAATATTTAAGCTAAGTTATAGTGCAGCAAAGAAATCTAAAATTACAAGCCCATTGAGTTTTTTTTGGAGTTAGCATAAAGCACAAGATAACAAGACACTAAATTAGGGAAGCAGGATAATTGGTTTCAGGATGAATAGGCAGCCCAGGTGGGAACGAAGATCAACTAATATCCCAGGTGATACCTAGCAAGAGAAGTAAGGGCAATTGCAACTAGCATACCAGACAGATGTTGTATTTCTTTATTTTTTAATTGTTAAAGCAGCTTTCACCGATTAAAAAAATTGTTAGTAAGCTTTTGTATTTTGTCTTTCTCATCTTTGTATGATAGTCAGTTATGAAGTGTATGTTGGTGCTATCATTGATTTAAAAGGCGTGCCTGAGGTGTGCCTAGGCGCACAGGCGAGGTGCATTTTGGGGTATGCGCCTCGCCCAGGTCCTAGGCACACGCCTGGTGTGCCTAGGCGTGTGCCTGATGCGCCTTGCGCCTCAGCCCAGGCGTGCGCCTTTTTTTAATTTTGCGCTTCTTGCTTCTTTTGAGTCTAATGGCTGGGCAGGAGGCTCCGCCCCTAGACCCCCAACCACGCCCCTCGAGGCAAGCCCGAACAAGTCTATGTTAGGGTCTGAAATTCTTATTTCTCACATAAAAAATAATGATTTTATAAGTTTCATTGCCTTTTAAGAAGATATTTTATTGCAATGAATGAATGAACAACAATAGCAACTAGGGGGTTCTCAGAGCCTAACTTAGATTTGTTCGGGTTGATAATGTTCATTCATTCATTGCAATAAAATATCTTCTTAAAAGGCAATGAAACTTATAAAATCATTATTTTTTATGTGAGAAAATAAGAATTTCGGACTCTAACATAGACTTGTTCGGACTTGCCTAGAGGGGCGTGGTACAAAGGCGACTCATAGAATCAAGAATGCAATACGGTTTACATCACATTAGCTACTTGAAGTAATGCAATTAAGGAAAAAGAGAGATTGTGGGTTTTACATGCTTGAAAATGCTTTATATGTTTGCTTTTATTTTTAAATTTTCATTTGAATACGCTTTACATGTTATGTTTATGTATTTTAATTTTAGACAATAGGTTTTTTAAAACATTTATTTTAAATTTTAAGTTTATATTTTTTATTAACATGATGTTTAATATTTTTTGCATTTTTTAAATTTTTTGGCATTTTTTTAATTTTTTGGCATTTTTTTAATTTTCTGACTTTTTTTTTTTTTTAGCTTTTTTTTGTAATTTTGTGCCTTGCTTAAAAAGGTGCACACCTCACCTTGCACCTCAAGCGCAAATTGGCCCTTGTGCTTTTAAAACACTAGGTGCTACCCACCACTAGTTGGGGGTGTTTCTTGTATTCCTTTTCTATAATCATAACTAGTAAATACCATCTTGCTATTGAGAAAAGAAATTAATTTAGAAACTAAAAATAGCCTACATTCACATCATAAACATATAAACTAGTTGTATTCTCTTAACATAAATAACATCAATACTAATTGGGGAAGGAACTAGTATTTTTGCATTATAACTAAAAACCTTTTTAATAATACCATACACCTTTTGACATTTAAAAGACAAATAAGAGGAGGGAGGCTTGCTATCAATGGTTTTCTAATTCGATTTTATAACTTGCAACCAAAATAAGAGCCCATAAAATTAAAAACATGATCTTCCTAAATCAAAATAAATGGCCCACAAAAGCAAGCACTTCATCTCTCTCTTTTTTTTTTGAAGATATCTCCTTATGATGACTTCAAATGAGGTTAAAACTCATACACTTGCCATAAGTGTTAAAGCATCAAATGCCAGCAAGTTTCATCAAAAGCACTGACTCAAGCAGTCAAGGTAAAAACATCTTCCCATGTTCACTAGCTCCTTCTCCGGATTTCTCAATGTAACTTTATAAAATTGCTGGAAAGAATATTATGTACAAAGTGATAAATTAAATATACTTAACATTCCTAAGATCAGAAAGCGAACACATTAACTGCCTTCCTCATTCCCAGTTTCCTAATTCCTCCATTGTAGTTCTCAAAGATAAGTGTCGTTTGCTAAAAACATTTTCCCATGTTTGCAGGCCGCTAATAACAATTGCATTTCATCAAAGTAATCCTAAGCCATTCCAAAACCATTCAACATCTCCAAGCCTTTAAAAGATAAAAGAGTACAAACTTAGTTACAGGTCTGTGCTCTATTGGTACTTAGAACCATAAAACAAAATTTCCAGTTTAGAAGGAAACCAACTAAGATTTCTATCACTATGAATGTACTTAGCAATTTCCCTTTTTTCCTTTTTGGCCTTTTAGAAAATAATATGGATGTAAATAAGGAAATAAGATTGAATTAAATTCAACATAACTCAAGAGGTGAAATAACCTAAAGAAGTAAAAACAAGAGTGCTTGCAAATTAGACTCTATGTTAATAAGTTATTAAGCTTTGCGACATACTTGTCTTATTTTTTCAATTCCTGTTGCAGCAATGAAGTCAGGAAGTTGGAAAGGCTGCTTTTCAATACCACGCTTTCCCTGCAAGAGAAATAACAAATACATGAAATAGCTGAAAACAACTTAAAAGATATCATTTCTAGCATTAATGCAAAATGTGTCTACAAACAAGAATTTTAAAGCCCTTTAAACAGCCCAGGATATCTGCAGTGTCAAAAAGGAAAAGATTCAGTCCAAGAATTATTCGCAAGTCGCAACAAAAACAACACTCATGCAGAATTGCATAGCAAAACCATAGTTCCCCAGCCAGTCAGTTCTTCTACTGCATGTAGAACAAGCTATCTAACCTAGGCATTTTATTTTGTATGCACAAGTAACATCACACTCCCACCCACCCTAGAAAATATTTTAAAAGAGAAACCATTCAGGGGTCCCCCTCAGCAAAGACCACCAAGTCCTGGCTCCATGATTGTTACAGCCGCTCCCCTGCAAGAACCACATATACATATAAGAGGAGTGAAACCATATCGACTTTATCTTCCCTCACCCTCTTCCACAACCCCTTATATTGTATTCCTATCAAGCATGCATGCAAATCTTTCTTGCAACAATGCAAAACTCACCTGTAAGAATTTTCTCTTTTGGCACCAATGCCTTGGCACAGGAACAGTATTCCGGTATGATTTCAAATACACAAGCAACTTTGGATCTGCAGCTGTTGCATCCCATACCTAAATAAAAGCATTCCATCAATGATGAATTAAAAGGTTGATAGTACCAATATGAAATGCAAGAGAATATGCAACAGATGCTAAAGAACTTCAAGAAGGGATGTGTGATATGGCATTGTTTTAGTGCATTAAAAGGCAATACCATGGTCTTCTGCCAATTGAGAACAACTTTGAGAGGTTACTCTGTATCCATTTTTTGGCTCTTCAATCTAACTGATGCATCCCCAAAAACAGTGATGAGCTGCTATTTGGGTGAAATACTAAAGGATTAAACAAGAAGGCAATATAGCACAGGGCTCCAGACCCTCAATAATTATGTTGGCATATGGACTGAGCATATTGCATCGATCATTAACAATAAATAACCCAGTAGGATGAAGCATTAAGGGAATAGGGACAAAAGTTCAGGGTTGGCCATCAGCACAGAAGGCCGTAAGGAATGCTTCACTCTTCACACTTTATACTCCTTGCGAAAAGAAAGGGACTGATAGAGAGGGAACAGAAGACTGTAGGTTTAGAAGGGAGGAAAGAGGAAAAGAAGGCAAATTTGAGAGGAAATGTGGAGAGATATTCAAGGGGGAATGGGACTGATAGAGAGGGAGATGGGGAGATGGGTGAGAGGTTTGATGATGAAAGCCCAGGAGTAAGTTGTGACCCTAAGGATGTTGATAAAGGAGAGAATGGTGCAGAAAGAGGCTGTGAGAACTTTTCAAGAGCTAAAGTGGTAGTAGGCATAGTTTTCAAGGCATCTAGGCGACACTGGGGTGCCTAGTCGCCTAGGCGATAAAAATTTTATAATATGAAAAACTGACTTTTGGCTAGTTTCCTAGTTTTATATACCATTCAGCATGTATGTTAATTGAAAAAATAGCATCTCTTTATTAAGAACATTAAATTTCCTCTAAAAATGTGGCAAATCCAATGATTTAAAAGATGCGCCTGAGGCACACAAGCGAGGCGCATTTTGGGGTATGCGCCTCGCCTGGTGCACCTAGGCGTACGCCTGATGCGCCATGCGCCTCAGTCCAGGCGTGTGCCTTTTTAAAATTTTGCGTTTTTTGCTGTTTTTTTAGTCTAACGACTGGGTCGGGGACTCCGTCCTCGGACCCCTGACCACGCCCATCGAGGCAAGCCCGAACAAGTCTATGTTAGCTTCGCTCGCTCACCGAAGCTCCGAAAACCCCATATTTGCTGATGTTGTCCATTCATTCATTGCAATAAAATATCTTCTTAAAAGGCAATGAAAGTTGTAAAATAATTATTTTTATGTGAGAAATAAAAATTTCAGACCCTAACATAGACTTGTTTGGGCTTGCCTCGAGGGGCATGGTACAAAGGCGACTCATAGAATCAAGAATGCAATATGTTTTACATCAACTTAAAGCAATGCTATTAAGGGAAAAAAAAAAAAGAGATTGTGGGTTTTACATGCTTGAAAATGCTTTATATGTTTGCTTTTATTTTTAAATTTTCATTTGAATATACTTTACATGTTATGTTTATGTATTTTAATTTTATATAATAGGTTTTTTAAATCATTTATTTTAAAATTTAAGTTTATATTCTTTATTAACATTATGTTTAATATTTTTTATTTTTTTGCATTTTTTTAATTTTGGCATTTTTTTTAATTTTCTGACTTTTTTTAGCTTTTTTTTTTGTAATTTTGCGCCTTTCTTAAAAAGGTGTGTGCCTCACCTTGCAACTTAGGCGCAAATTGGCCCTTGCGCTTTTAAAACACTAGACAAATCATCACATCTAAAAGATAAAAATATTTTACATATATTAATTTCATTATTTTCAAAAATAATACTATTGTAATAAGTATTTAATAGAGCAAATTCATATTAATCAGCAGCTAAAGAAGGTTATTAACTTTATATGATAAATATTCAAGATGGAAAGTAAAATAGAAAAAAAAAACAAGGATGGAGTTTCTGTTTTATTTAATTAGAGAGAGAATAGAAAAAAAGAACTTTATTATTCTATTGTTTCTTTCCCCTTTCTTTTCTTTCCTTTCTTTCTTTCTTTCCTTTTCTCTTCTCAAAACCCCTTGATCTTTTAAATTTCAATAGTAAAACATTAAAACAAAATATAACTGATATATATAGCATATAATAAAATGTATTAACACATACATTAATAAGATACAACAATATAAATGATATTATAAAAGGCACCCGCCTTGTCATTTTTGTCGCCTAGGCAGGCGCTTAATCGCCAAGAAGGGCGCCTAGTTGCTAAAAGTCAAGGTGTTTGGGCGAAGCGACCAGCCAAGGGCGCCTAGTCGCCTAGGCAACGCCTTGACAAATATGGTAGTAGGGAGGTTGGGAGTCAAAATTTGGGTCGGAAAAGGAGTATTGAGAAATTAGATGGTATCAGGGGAGAGTTAGAGGTGGTAGGGCCTGGTCCAACAAAAAGAGGGTTTATAAGAGAAAAAAGATTCCACGACTCAAGTGTTAGATGGTGCAGCGACCCATGCGTCGGTTGCATCTGAGAATAAGGTTGAGTTAGTTGCATCTGAGTTTTAGGAAGAAGATTTTCTTTCAGGAAGAGTTTTGGAGTGTGTGTGTGTGTGTGTGTTTTATTCCTTTAGTTTGTTGTAATTGTGTAGTGTTTGGATAGTGTTTTTGGGTGGTATTTTGACAAGGGCAATTCAGTAGCTGAAAACTCTAAATCTCTTTGATGCATAGAAAAGCTGGTTAGCAGTGGCTAATACTTCTACCAGGAAGGACAGATATGTGGTTGAATGGATGCCACCTGGGAAGGAGTTTATTAAGCTGAACTTTGACGGGAGTAGACAACGTAACCCTGGACCTTCAGGTATAGGAGTGCTGAGAAATAAAGACAGTAGCATTATATCTTTGTATTCAGGTCCTGCAGGTGTTGGAGATTCTATAAGGGCTGAATTACTTGCTGCTGTGCAAGAAATAGCAAGCCAGCTAGGAAGAGTATCTGAAGAGACTCCCAGGTGATAGTGGGTTGGTTGCAGGATCCGGACTCTGTGGGGCTTTACAGATTTTCTCAAAAAGGTTAAATGGCTAACGAGGAATATGACAATCAGAATTCAGTGGGTAGGCAGATCAGCAAACTCAATGGAGAATATCAGATCTTCGAAACCCGGACCCCATACCCTCCAAAAAAGGAGAATATCTCTATGGCTATCGCGAGTTCTCAGTCTGCAACTAAACTTGCGATGGAGGTGGAGAAAGGGGTGTGGGATAACAGATATGTTATCACCTTGCAAAAAAGGGTGAACGATTGGCAGGGGATTCTAGAGGCTGTGAAGGAAGAGGTTCACATTGAGGCAGCGGCTCCACTACTCCCTTTCTGTGAAAACAGGGCTCTCCTAGACGTCGGGGAACAGAAGTTGGAACTGACAACGATTAAAACAGGGGAAGGCATGGCACTTGTCGAGCGGTGGAACATGTCATGTAATGAGATTGAAATCAATGATCTGCAAGCTGACATGAAGGTTGTAGGTCTTCCGTTCAACCTCTGGAAGGAGGAAGTGTTCGAAAAAATAGTCACAGCTCTAGGAGGCAAGCTGGAAGGTTACAGTTTTGATAACCTGTTTGCCGTGAAGATGAGAATAGCCGGGGTGAAGCTGTTCTTAATCCCCAGATACTGTGAACTCCTAGTGGAAGGCAGGTGGTGACGACTGTGGATTGCAACGGCAGTCGAAGCATCGCTGTGGCAGGGAGGTCGAGAGCTGGAAGAAGGAGATGAGCTGGAAAGGTGATTTCCAGGTGGCAACAGGAGAATGGAGGAAGGGGTGGATTCGACAAAAGGGGAAGGCAAACAGTCTTTCTCGAAAAATAAAGAGGTGGGGTAGCCATTATTGGCAAATTTTCAAATAATTTTAAATCAGCCCCTGGAGGAGCAAAGAAAACTCCAATTGTGGAAGTGGTTCGGGTGGGACTTGGGTCAGAACCGGGCTGTGGATTAGGGCATCGAAAAGCCTGGTCCGAGTCGGTTGAGATGTTGGACGGGTCACGTGGGTCGAAGCACAATTGTAATGACCCACGTGACAACTTAAAGGTCGCATGGGTCGGGGTAAGAAGATAAGCTATAGACCGATTATAGATGGCAGTCGCGGTCTTCTTCTCAAATGGCCCTAACGGCGAAGGAAGGTGGGGGAAATCTGCAAAGGCAAAAAATGGACAAACAGGAAAGTTTATAGTGGATTCCACACCGAAACAATGGGGACCCTAGTTCTCTGTGAACAGAGAGGCCGAATCCAAGATATGCACGGGGGAGAGCAGAAGAGAGAGAGGAGGCGGATGAAGGTTGGGTGATGTGTAGTGATGACGAAGAAGAATCAGATGATGGATAGATGATGGTACCAGTATTGGTAGTGTGAACGAGGAAGATGGCTACAGCACAGATGACAGAGGAGGGTGGGACATTGCAAAGCTATTTCGGGGTGACCTAGAGGACGATGGGGAGCGGCTAATAGGTGACCAGGAAGGTCAGATAGAGGAAGGAAGAAGCTCTGGAAACCATGAAACAAGCAAGGCTGAAGACTTTAAGCGAAAAAACCTATACCCAAGGCCTCAGATTGTGCAAGGCACAAATAAAAGGGCAAATCAGGAGAACCTGAAGCAGAGCTGGAACATACCAATCAGGGGTGAAACAAGGGTACAGAAAAGAGATCACCATATTGACAAAGGGGCAGAAGGACTCTCCCACCAACCCAGGGAGACAGATTTTGACCAACCTCGGGAACTAGAAAGGGAGGCCGGGAACAGTCCTAATCCACTTTCCCTCTCACACCCAGGTAACCAAGTGAATTCGGATTTTGCTACTAATGCTTTCTCTGTGTCCTTTGTTCCAGATTCTGCTTCCGGTCCATGTCTCGAAACCCATGTATGTGCAGCCAATCAAGAGGGTGGGGTTTTTGAGGTTTTGGAAAGGGTTGTGAAGAACAATGGAGAGGAGTGGGACGGGAGATAGAAATGAGAAGGTATGAGAAATTATTGAGAGAGTATTTAAAGAGG